AACTGCAGTGTGACTGAGCAAGGCAATTAGCCTCAGAATCAACCCCCAAAGGTCACCGCCACCTTTGAAGAGTCGCTAGAGAACACGCATGCTCTCCACAGACAGGGACTCCGTCCCCTGGGTGTTCGGGCCCCCAGGAGGGAACACGGGAACTGCAGTCACTGGGGTGTTTTCAGTGACTGGGTGCAGTATGGAGGGTGCACCGTGACCCACACTCACGTGACAGCAATACAGGTCACCTGACAAGGAACGCTGGGCGGGTAGGGGAGGGGAGCCGGTGCTAGGCCCGCTTTGCCCCCCCAAGCGGTGCAGGAGGCTGTGCGTGTGGCCCAGGGGGACTGTGCTGCAGCCCTCCTGCCCAGGGCAGGCTCCACCAGGCGCCGTGTTCTTCCTTCTGCTCCTGGGAGCAGACCTCACCCCCCTGGGTGACCCTGCCGCCTGCAGCGCAGCATCTACCCAGCACCCCTCCCCCTGGAAGTCCCAGCCCGAGGGCCACGGGAGGGCCAGGCTGATGCGAGCTCTCCCTGCTGAGCCAAGCAGCTTCGCCCACAGACGGGAAACCCGCTGTTTCCCAAAGCTTGGAAATCAGCTGCTGCTTCCCATGGACAGCTGGGAACCTGCGAGCTGCTGAGCTGCGGGAACCTTCTAGAAGGAAAAGCCACAGGAGCCACTGGCTACAGAAGTGAATACAGGCTGGAAGCCGGCTGTCTTCGGCCCAGCATCCAGGCTGGTGCAGGGACCATGGGGGGACTGTGACCGGCACCACCCAGCCTCTCTCCACTTCATCTGGGGCCGCGGGCGGGCCTGCGGGCAGCACGTGCTGAGGTCCCAGAGGTCGTGGTCAGAATGGGAGACGGAGGAGACGGGCAAGGACAGTAAGCTTTGTTTCGTTTCCTCTGGTCTTGTTTCATCAGTCAGAAGTCACAGACGACAATTTAAGAGGCATTAAAAAAAAAACTGACGGCAGCTAACATCTTTAAAAATACAAAGTTGAAGAAGCTACTGGAGAAAAATACAATCTCTAAACATCATCAATATGACAAAACTGGATTTGCTTTTATAAGTGGAAAAGCATCCTTTCTGCAGTGTGAATGTGGAATTGAATGCTTTGCTTAGATTAATCCCTGGCTGAGCTGCTCCCATGCCCAGGAACCCCAGGAAGGACCTGCTGATGGGAGCAGGGTCAGTGGCATGGAACAAGTCCCAGTATATCCTTAGATTTGGAGAGGCTCAGAAACTCAGTCAGGTGGTCCCCACCTCACCTGCTCTGTACCTGTGCACCCAGGGAGATGACCCAGCCTGCTAGGAGGTGGGGACACCCTGCTGTCAATCACAGGGAAGGGGGCAGGCTCTCCAGCAGGAAGTGAGGCAAGCCCAAGCTGGGCACTCAGGTGGTGGAGAGGAACGAGGGGCTGGGATGTGAACCCCAAACCCGCAGCAGGGCAAGGCGTGCCTTTCCCCGCAAGACTTCCAGCAATAAATGGCATGGATTTGTGGCCTCCCCTCAGGGGAGCCTAGCATTTCCACCTGCTCCTGGCCAAACTGGGGGCATGGAGGGAAGGGGCTAGGGGAGCGGAGTCTGGCGGGAATGGGCTGTTGGGTGGGGAAAGGATCAAGGGCACCCCAACAGCACCCTGGCAGCTTGGGAAAATGAGAGCAGAGCCCCTGCAGCCAGGCCCCCTCTAAGCACTTGGCAAACATCAACTCCATGACTTCTCCCAGCCCAGGAGGTAGGTGTTTCCAGATGGCAAAACAGGGAGGCACAGAAGGCTTCCCCAAATCACAAGGCAGGAAGTGAAGCAGCTGAATCTAAAGCCAGGCCACCGGCCCTGCAGCCAGTGCGAAGTCACTGCCTGAACACACACAGGCTTGGGTGAGTCGGTACGCTTTCCTCCGGGGATGGAACAGAGCCGGACACGGTGCGCCCAGGAACAGCAAGCACGGCTCTGCACTCTACAGGCGCGTGTCCTGCAGCGGCCCTTAGGGGACTGACGGGCAGACAGATATGTGCAAGATCCACAGAATCTGTTGTCAAGTTGAAACCATGGGGATTATTTAAGTGTATGTCACATTTATTAAAGATTTTAATTCATTTGAGGCATTTTGTAACTAAAGTTTCATGTTTGTAGTATTTCCTATTACTGATTCTCATAGAAATGCACAGATATAAATTATTGAGAATTTGAGACATCAAGTGTTTGAAAGTGGATACTTTTAGGATGATACAGGACACCTAACTACACTCTATTCCCTTAAGTGGTTTAAACATTTCCTCTGAAATCTTTATATTATTAATATTATTAATGTGCTGGTGATGCCTTTTTGAAAAATTGATAATGCAATCAAATCTTAATTAAGTTCTTCTGGAGCACTGGGCGCTCACGGGCACTTCCCCAAGTGTGATGAGGAGTCTGCCTTTCTCAGGGCGGCAGGGGGCTGGGGCGGGCTGCATGGCAAGGTTCAAGGCAAACAGGTGTGAGAGAGGGTGCTTCCAGCACAGGAGCCAGCAGCCGCAGAGACTGGGAGAGATGACAGGGCCCGTGAGACAAAGCTCACAGGCCATGCAGCTCCGCAGAGCAGCAGCGGGGCAGCGTGGAGTTGGCCGTCCTGCATCCAGAGTCTTCAGAGACCCTGGCTACACGTGGTCAGTGCCAGTTCTGTCCTGTAACAGGAGCCACTGTCCAGGTGACACGGGCCTTGTCTGGTTGGGAGAGAGGGAGAATCAGAGCAAACATCCCCTGATGGGCACCACTACTTCTATTTTGAGGGAAGTGTAAGCTCAGGCCAGGGAGCCCCGTGAGGGCCCCAAGAGGCAAGTGTTGTTCACTGTCCTTTCCTGGGACCTTGGGGGAAGAGTCAGATGTGTCTTCTGGCAAGGCAAGGCCCCTTGGCAAGAGGTGGGTGGCTCTGCTTGGTGGCCCAGTTGCTCAGCCTTCTGCTTCCTCCACTGGGACCTTGGGGGTCATACTCGGCATACCCAGGGCAGGAGGAAGCTCTGCTTGCTCAGTGTATCCACAGTGGGGAGGATATGGGTGTGCACAGCTCCATTTTACTGATGAGAAACTGAGGCCAGGGGAACCTAAGGAATCCATCGCAGGGCACACAGAGATACAAAACCAGTGGAAAGATCCTTCCCGAGCTGCTGGTGGAGCCTATGACCTCTGTCCACCTGACCCACCCTCATGCCCTTAAGGGTGAGGGAGACTCCCAGCTGCTCACTCTCTTTCTGGGGCAGGCACAGTCTGTCTCGCTCCCAGCACAGAGCCCGCTGCTCCCTGTGACCTCCCATTCTGCTGACCTGAGTTTGGTTCAATACAGCACAAGGTTCCAGAAGGGGGCACGGGGGCCACCTGGGAGCACTGGCCCCAGCTCCTGACAAGACCTTCCTGTAGAGAGCATGGGCTCTCTCTGGGTGAAACCCATGGCTGTCCTCGGTGGACAGGTGAGAACTGCACACTCACGCTGAGGAAAAGGACAGAGTGGCACCTTCGCTTTCACCAGGGGAGGGTTTACAGCTGACAGGAAGCCCTGTCCACACCTGCAGGGTCCTAACCACTGACTCGGAGGGGCTGCACCGACCCCTCTCCCAACCTTGTCAAGGTCTCTGAGGTCCTTGGCCCATGACCGTCCTGATGGGGTCACTCCATCTCACACACCTGGGAGTCAGTCAAGCACTACCAAGGTGCCTCCCTGCAATTTCCGGCTCTGGATTCAGGCTCTGCTCCCCGCGTGCCGCACCGAATCCTCTGGGGCCCAGCTCTGCCTATGGAGAGGCTCCAAGTCTTCCGTCATTAGGACGGGGTGGCAGATGAGCCCCCAGCCCCATTCCCCAATGCCTCATCACTCAGGTGAAGATGCTGGAGTCTGACTGCCTTAAAGTGCATCTGTCTAAAATCAACCAATATCCTCTGGATAAAACAAAATTTGTGTTTACAAAGAAAAAGCTGTGCCACACGGGACTCACTTCCACTAAGTAGGAACTTCCCACAATGCCCCACAACCATGGCTCCACATGCTGTGTCTGCGGCCAGGGCACCCGATCCTCCACAGCCTGCCCCATCCTGCCCTCACCTCGCAGCGGGCAAAGGCTCTAGAAGATGCTTCGCCTCTGGTCCCTGCCCTTCCGGCCACCCTTGTGGACTGGCCACGGCCACTCTGATCTTTCTTAAAAGCCGACGCCCACTTAAACCACCACCGCTGGAGAAAGTCCAAGGGAGTCTGCTGGAGTGTGAATACCCTTCTTCTTCTGGTCTGTGACAGGGCCACACACACCCCGAGGCATCCTCCTGAGATGTCCTTGCAGGACACAATGAGTTTCTTTCTTGAACAGACTTCCTCCCAATCTGGGACCCACAGCCCCCCCCCCCCCGCCACTGCCCAGGCCCTGCCTAGAGTCAGCCCCGAGGGCCAAATGCTGGCTGGCCTGCTCCTGCAAGGCCTCACATCAGTCAGCAGGAGCTGCTTTGTCCCTGAGCCCAGCAGGGGATGCTCTGGGCTGTGACAAAGTGCAGCACACCACCAAGAGGAGAGTAAGCTTGGGTGTTGTTTAAAAACGAGTCTGAGGTTTAAAACATAGGTGTACATACATGAGGTTCATCGCTTTTGGTATGACTCATAAGGCAATGCTTAAGAACATCATTTTTAAAATGATGTTCTAATACAAAAAGCAAATACTTTAAGCACAAGCAGGGATTCCCTCTGCCTCAGCCCGTAGGGCATGTGGGAGGGGCCGGTTGAGAGCCCCACCCACTGTGGGCATGTGGGCGGAGTCGGTTGGTATCCCCCCACCCCCCTGTGGGAGGGGTCGGTTGATAGCCCCAACCCTGTGGGCGTGTGGGAGGAGTTGATAGCCTCGCCCCCTGTGGGTGTGGGGGGGTGGTCAAGAGCCCCTCCCCTGTGGGGCGTGTGGGAGGGGCCGGCTGAGAGCCCCGCCCCCTGTGGACATGTGGGAGGGGCCGGTTGAGAGCCCTGCCCCCAGGCCCTCGGTCCTGGGCACTGACCTGTTTTTCTGAGCGGGAAGTCATCTTTGCTGTCGTACATTCCCAGAACCGGGTGGTTGTAGGAGGCCGACACCCCGCTCTGGGGCGGGGAGCTCTGGTCAAGCGAACTGTGCTGTGTTTTCCTGGACAGAAAAGGCAAAGGCAGACGGAGGAGTTAGCGAGGGGCGGAAGCCTGCCTGATGTCAGCCCCGGATCAGCTCTGGCCGACCCAGGAGATGGGCTCCTGTGTGGGGCAAGGCTGAAATGAGACAAAAACCAATGGTGACCGCGCAAACCAAGGCTGAGCAACGCCTCCACAGTCGTACCCTTGCCAAGAGGAGCAGTGCCGGCCATCATCCTGTTGTTCTCGGCGGCTCCGTGCACCACTGCTCCCTGGCCCCCAGGCCACCGCCGGCCACAGAAGGGCCTGTCCTCGGGCCGACGGCCGCCACATGTGGACAGGACCAAAGGCACGGTCGGAGGCAGCTGAGATCGGGTGGGGTGCATTCAGAACAGCAGTGGTCAAGTCTGGGGTCCCCAAGGGGGCCTCCCTTCAGCAGAAAATACCCAGTGTTCATCTGCACCTTCAGAGGAACAAAATCCGCCCCATCACCCTGCTTCCTTGGAGAGGGTGGGTGGCAGCGACCAACACCTTGTGCCTGGAAGTGGGTCTATGACATTTACTGCCTCCGAAGACCAGCCAGGCACCGCTCAACATCCTTAAAATTTCGAGACAGGATCCGGCTCCAGGAGGAGGCTCTGGAAGGCAGGAGGGGAGTCAGGGCTTGGGAATGGGGAGCTGACGGCCCTTGGGAAGACCATCCACGGCTTCCTGGAAGCACCCACCCTAGGTGTAATGAATTCTGTTGAGTCTTTAAACTGTGTAATCTGCTTAATGACTTGAAACAAATTTGTCAACTTACTTATTTGGAATTTGTTAGACTATTTATTTGAATACACAGTACTCCATATCCATGCACCTGGTGTTATTTGAATTAAGAACAGGAGCTCTTAAATGCTTACAGGTGGATAATTTAAATATTTGAGAGCAAACTTGTGCAGAGAATGGGCTGATCACAGAGACCCGTCCAATGAGCACAGCCTGGACATCTGGGCTGTGGGGCCCAGCCAGGCTGTGTAGCAGGAAAGAGCTCACGTTCCCGGGGACAGCTGCCCCCACCCGCCTGTACCTGCATCACGGGGTCACCTCCTCAGGCAGGAAGCCCTCCTTTTAACTTGTGGTTCCACTGAGACAACCCTGGCCTCACCTCGGGGGACATTCTCTGACAATCTCATTAAAGGTCTGAGGACAGGTCACCTGGGTGCTCCCTCCCAGTTAAGCAGCTGCCTTCAGCTCAGGTCATGGTCCCAGGATCCTGGGATCGAGCCCCACATCGGGCTCCCTGCTCCGCGGGGAGCCTGCTTCTCCCTCTCCCTCTATGTGCCGCTCTGCCTACTTGTGCTCTCTCTCTGTCAAATAAATAAATAAAATCTTAAAAAAAAAAAAGGTCTGAGGGCAACACTATCTCGGTACCAAATCACGTCTTCTGAGGTGTCCTTTGGGGAACATGGCCTTGGCCAGTTTCAAACTTCTCAGTACTAAGTCACAATCTAGGAAAGAATTTGCTTTCTTTTTCAGGAGATGCATGGAAAGACCTATGTGTGCATTTTGCAACCTGGAAGTATGAATAATAATTATTGGTAGAATATTATTACAAATAATAAGTACTGTTGTTCGACTTTAATTGTACGCTGTTTATAATGAAGCCAGAAGTTGGAAAAGCTGTATTTGTTCAAGATGTCATAGATTTTCTCTTCGGGCTTGACTGCTGGAGATGTTGTTGGGGTGAAAACCCTCGCTCCCTCCTCGGGCCTTCGGGGGCACAGCACGAGGCCGGCCGTGCTGGGCACAGAGCGCTCCTGCATCACCCCAGGACATGGGTCTGGGCCGGCGCGCAGGCTGCTGCACCAACCCCCCCTTTGCTGTCACAGCCGAGTCCAGAGACTTCGAGGGAGTGACTCCCGTCACCACAGCCCAGCTTCCGGGAACCCTGCAAGACCCTGGGACGAGAGCTCATCCCCAGAGGCCCCCCTGCAGGGCTGAGCAGGCCGCTCCGGGGAAAACCTGCCATCACGCTCCCTCCCCCCTGGGACCGAGCACACGTGCCACAGGCTGCACGCACACCTCACACTGACACGCTCTCACCCTCAGTCTCACACACCCCTGCGGCATCGCACCCCATTACACACACACCCCACCCCGCACACGGACACGCTCTCACACACACACGTACCCCATGCTGCACACTGACATGCTCACACACACACCCCACCCACATTCACAGTGCATTCCACCCCATGCACAGGCCCTCACACACACTCCCACGTGCACACCCACCAAACCCACCCCCTTGCACAGGGGAGCAGAACTCGAGGGCAGCTCCTTTCATGAGGCTCAGCCCTGTCCACAAACCAGGTCCCCAGCTCCCAGCCCCTTGTCACAGCCTGGCGGGAGGCACTCGGTGGCACGTCTGCTGGCATCTGGGCAGACGGTCGGTGACACTTGGTCTTCAAGCAGTGCTGACGGAGGCAGAGAAACCAGTGCCGCTTCCTTTGCTCAACCCTCCTTAGGCTACCACGGAATAAAGCTCCCACACGCATCCAGCCACTTCAGCACTCCACAAGCGGCCTTTCCCACTGTATCAGACTTGCGCAAGTGACTTAAACAGAAGTGTACTCGCTTAGCCAGTGCTGTCCAATGCAAGTAGGATGTGAGTCCCATGTGCAATTTAAATGTTACAGCAGCCCCGTTACAATGAATAAAAATGGTTAAATTGACGTCAGTATGCTCTTTAACCCGATATAGCCCAATACACGATCAATATAAAAATGACCCGTGAAATAGTTCACATCCTTCCCTTCGTGCCAAGGCCCCACAGTCCGGTGGGCTGGTGCCCACAGCGCATCTCAGTCAGAGCACCCTCGTCTCTGTGCTCAGAGACACGTGGGGGGGCCACCACTGCAGGAAGGACAGAGAGCAGGGTCATCTCCATGGACAGAACCCTGCACCATTCCGCAGGCAAGCCCCGGCCCCCCAGCCCAGTCGCCGGCCGGCTTCGTTACTAGATTCATCGTGCTGACTGCAGAGCTTCATCCGCTTGCGTCCCCGAGCAGGGCTCCGGGTGGCTTCTCTGTCTGAGTGTCACGTGTCTGAGGCCCGAGTCTCCTGTGTCCTCCAGCTGGTGGGCGTTCAGGCTGCTGCCGTTCTTTGGCAGGAATGAATGACGCAGCTATGACCACCAGAACCCAAGTGTATGTGGACAGAAGTTTTTCTTCCTCCTGGGTAGATACTAGCAGGACAGCGTCATGGGGTCGGGGCACATAAGCCTTTATGAGAAACTGCTGGACTGTTTTGTTTGCAGCTGGCTGCACCACTCCGTTGCCGAAGTCCATGGGCTCCACACCTTCGCCAATGGGTCTGAGGTGGTGCCTCCCTATGGCTGTGATTTGCATTTCCCTGAGGGCTAGAGATCTTTTCATGGACTGACTGGCTATCTGTAGATCTTATTTTCTGAGGTATTAGTTCAAATCTTTCCCTCGTCTTTTTTCAGTAGGTAGATCACTTGTCTTTTTATTATTGAGTTGTGGGAGCTCTTTATATACTTTGGATATAAGCACTCTGTCAGCTATAGGCATTGTGCATATTTTCTTCCAGTCTGTGGCTTGCCTTTTTATTTTCTTAATGGTGCCTTTGAAAGAGCGTTTTTAATTGTCACAAAGTCTATTGTTGGAGTTTTTGGTTTACACTCGATTACTGTGGTGTCCTAAGAACTCTGTCCACCTCTGCCCCTAGGTTGTGAAAACTTCTCCTATGTTTTCTCCTAGGAGTTTTAGCTTTTGTGTTTGGGTTTACATTTGTGCTAACCACTGTGGGTAGAGTGAAGCTAGGGTCAAAGTTCAGTTCTTCCTCCACGAAGACCCAGTTTTCTGACCGAGTACCTGCCACCACACAGCGAGTGAATGTGACAGTCACTCCATGATGTTGGGTTTAGAGTGACAAAACACGGCAGCTGCCAAATTCAGTGCAAACAAACCTGTCCCCTGGCTGACTTTCCCACTCCAGCCCGTGTGCCCTAAATCCCTCTGAGAGAGCTGAACCCAGGGCAGGTGAGCTGCATCCGGGTCAGGCCTGACCTCAAGAGCCCTGCTCACCAGGGAGCAGCCGCTTCAATCCCCCACTAGCCCAGGATTAAAAGCCACCTGCCCTCCCCATCTCCCCCTTCCCTGCTCCTGGGAGCTCCTCCCTAGAAAGCCCTCCCTTGTTCCAGCCTCTCTCCTCGGTGCTCCCTTTCTACCCGCCCTTCCCCTGCAGCCTCCAGGACTGGGGGCAAACACACTGTCCTGTCACATTCAACCTGTCACCGTGGCCTCTGTCCCGTCCAGTGGTCTCCCGCCCCAGGCTCCTGCCCGCTCACAGGGGGGCCGGCACGGACCTTCTTCCACTCCTGGGTCCGCGACCCAAGAACTCCGACGTGGTCAGCCCATGACCCCTGTGTGCCACCACATGACCTCCTGCGGGCTCCCAGCCAGCCGGACCTCCCCAGTCGCGTCACGGACTGACCCTCCTCCGGAAGGGCCCCTGGGGCCTCCCTGCCTGCCAACCACTGCTGCTAACGCTCCCTCCCAGCAGGTCCCAGAGAGCCCCTGCCGTCTTTGCCGCCTTCACAGGCCTGTCGTCCCAGGTCCCCCCAGTGCCTCCCGGTCTGAGCCCCTGTGCCCCACTCCCCTCCTCCTGCTGGCCTCAGAATGAACCCCACGGATACCATCTCACCGGCTACCCAAACTGCTTTCCCTGGCTGAAGGCGTGCACGCCAGCAGCACGGCAGACAGGAGTGCGCACAGCCTTCTGGACCAGGCAGCGTGTGCCGGCTGCACACGGCGTAAGGGCAGCCTTCTCTGCCCTGGAATACAAGTCCTTTTCGGTTGTACTGATAACGGCGTCATCTGCCAGGATACGGGGGATCATCCCAGTGGGATGGGGCGGTGTTGGATTTAGTCAAATAGGTGCCCATTTGGGAGCTTGAGAATAGATAGGTTTTTCCCAATAAAATGAATAACCATATTTTGATTTATGAGAACAACCCTATGGGTTTTCTGTGAGAAATGAAATTACCCTTGAAAACAGGGGAAAACTGTATTTCAAAGCAAAGCCTGTGAAGCCCCCTTGATCGTTGTTCAAAGCCACGTAATCTGGCCCCTACGTTGCACACGTGGCCTGGGCCCTGGCCAGCATCTCTGCAGCGAGCTCATGCTCAGAGGACATCCCTGTGCACGCAGGCATTGTCCCCGACCTTTGTGCAACGGCACACCAGCTTCCTTCAGTTGTTAGCATGAACAAGGCTCTCTGGGGGCCTCTGTGCATTATGCAGCTCTGGGAAAGCGTTCCTAGCACAAGAGTGAAGTGTACCACAGATGCCATGGGCTTACCGAGCAGCCAATAGAACACTGCGTAGAAATTCAGTAGGTGCATTCAGACAGTTTAGGTCAGAATTACAGTTTAAGCGGCTTCTTTCGTGGCCAAAATATATGGAGAGAGGAGTAGTGGGCAGGCAGCGCCCCACACGCAGCAGTCCCTTCAGCGAAAGACAGGTCCTCCGTCTGCATGACCGCCCGGCGTGTTAACCTTGCAGACCGCTCCTGCCGCCCCGTGTTTGCGGCTGCGCTCACGGAGCCTCTCGGCCCGCCCCCTCCGCCCTCCCGCCGCCCGGCCGGGTGAAGGAGCGGTGCCGACGGTCACGTGCCCCCGGCCCCTGGGCCCCACTTACCCGTACCAGTAGCGAGGGTCGCTGGAAATGCAGTGGTTGAGGTTCCGGTGGGCCAGGGCCTTCTTTTTATTGAGGACAAACTCTTGCAACTTCATCTTCACTTCTGTGCTGGCCACCGCACCTGGCGCGGAAGGAAGCGGACAGGTGACCGACCGGGGGCTCTGGCCCGGGGAGCGGGGGAGGCCGGACAGGGGGCAAAGACACGCACACAGGCCAGGGGCTCTAACTCGGGATGCCGCTGATGCCACGAAGGCTTCTCAAAGAAAGAAGGGCAGGAGAAGCTTTAACAAGAGGCCTTCTTCCCATGAAGATTTTACATAATTGCATTCCACCTAAAATGCAGAAGTAATCAGCATAAAGACTTATTGTTACCTAACACAAAACCACCGCGGATGGAAGTTTAATAATGTTACATAAAAGAACATTCTGAATTGGGTGCTGGCAGCCTGGTGGTTTCGTTCTCACTAGAGCAAAAGCAGCTGGATCTCAGAAGTTTTGTGCGCACCCACCGCCCGCCGGCGACAGGGACGGAGTGTGCTCCCTCGGCGGGTGCCCCGCAATGCTTGTGTACAAGGCGGCGGCCTGCTTTCCACTGGTGTCGGAGGAAGCTTCTGTTCCTTCCAGCTCATCAGCTACTCACTTTGAGCACGTTCACCAGGCTCTACTAAAGGCAGAATCATGTGCTCTGTGGTTTTCTTGTGTGGTGGTTATTCACAGCCCCGTAGAGAAAACAGGCAAGTTTGAGAAACAGACAGACGCACAAAGAAAAGTCCAGACCCACCACTCGATCACAAGGCCTGTGCACATCTAACCCGCGCTCCTTGAGGCCACGCTCAGACTACACAGCACTCCTGCACCCATCCCTCCATTTGTGAGCCGCAAACATTTCCTGTTGTACAGAGTCCAACCAGTATTTTTAATGGTGGAGAAACACTTCAGATGAGCAAAGCACAGTTTATATTTTACAAAACCATTTTCTGACTAGAAGGCACTTTTAGATTATCCTTGTTGTTGTTGTCAGAAGCCATACTGCCATGAACATTTATGAGCAGACATCGTTCATACTGAGGATTTGCTTAGGAAAGATCAACAAAATCAATACATCTAACAAAAGTAACATTATAGCCCTCCAAGCATCTTCTAATTGCTTTCCAAAATGCCTTCATACACTGACCATCATGTGTCACCCACGGCAAGCACCCTGCATCTTCATGAGTACTCAGGATCACTACCTGACCCCACGTCTCTATCAGTACTCAGGATCACCCTGTGCCTCTGTCCATCAGAAGTCAGGATCACCACATGACCCTGCATCTCTATCAGTACTCAGGATCACCCT